ATTTCAGTGCAGTTTGATAAACCCTCCTAATCAGACGAAAATCTTATTTTGAGACAGATTCTAACTTTATAATTTTTGCTGATTTGTGAGGAAGGCAGAGAGTTGAAGGGGCAGTTGAAGGGAAAGTCCTTGGAGCAACCTATGCTCCTTGCTGAAGGCTGTATGGACCAGGGATGCTCCTGGAGGAAATCAGGTCTTCAAGCATGGGAAAAAGGACTGTTGACTTCACCTTTTCCTTTCGAGAGCCTGCCTCAGCATACTTTTTCCTCTGAGATTGGACGGATGAGCCCACTTCTTTTGCATTAGCTGGAGCTTCAAGCCAGCCTTAGAATCATAGAATCATAGAATTAACTGGGTTGGAATAGACCTCCGAGATCATCAAGTCCAACCCTTGATCCAACCCCACTGTCATTACTAGATCATGGCACTCAGTGCCACATCCAGCCTCATCTTAAAAACCTCCAGGGACGGTGAATCCACCACCTCTCTGGGCAGGCCATTCCAATGCCTGATCACTCTCTCTGTAAAGAACTTCTTTCTAATATCCAACCTAAACCTCCCCTGGCAGAGCTTAAGCCCCGTGCCCTCTTGTCCTATTGTTGGTTGCCTGGGAGGAGACCGACCCCCACCTGGCTACAACCTCCTCTCAGGTAGTTGTAGAGAGTGATGAGGTCACCGCTGAGTCCCCTCTTCTCCAGACTAAACAACCCCAGCTCCCTCAGCTTCTCCTCATAGGACTTGTGCTCAAGTCCCTTCACCAGCCTCATTGCTCTTCTCTTGAGTTCTTATTCACCCTTGCTGGTACTTGTGAACATGAAGGAGGTCGTCAGCAAACTACCCAAGCTCTCCTCTCCCTATGCATCCCAGCAAAAGAAGACAGACAGTGCAGGCAAACAATAATGCCGGCTGAATTGCCCAATATGTCTATTTAATTAGCACTTAGAAGAGTCACAAATGTTTTCTCCTTGTTTGAAGGAGAGAAAAGAACATATCCCCAGCCTTGCAGAGGGCAAGAGGGGGTTTATAGATTGTTTCACCTTAACAGTCATGGATAAAATAATACAATGCATACCCAAATTTAAAAGAGAAAAAAAAGCTCCAGATTTTTTTCTGGTTTTTTTTTTTTTTGGTACTTCACTAGGATGTGGGGTTTGATTTAGCAGCATTTAATCCCTGTGGACAAATGAAAGGGTTGTAAGACACTGATTTTCTATATACTCCCAATTCACCCACCACTGCAGAATTGGTGTGTGTGTCTTGGAAAATATTTCTCCATAAAGAGCATGCATGCAAAAAAATCATAGAATCATAGAACAGTTTGGGTTGGAAGGGATCTCTAAAGTCATCTGGTCCAAACCCCTTTCAATGAGCAGGGACATCTTCAGTGAGATCAGGTTTCTCAGAGCCCCATTTAGCCCTTCCATGAATGTTTCCAGGGATGGGGCATTTACCACCTCTCTGGGAAACCTATTTCAGTGTTTTGCCATCCTCATTATAAAAAAAAAAATCTTTTGCCACAGTAATTTTCAGCAGCACGGTAATTTGGAAAATGTGCAAAAATTGCTCTAACAATTATTGATGCTATTGCACTGCCTGCCCTGAGAAAACATAATTTTCTTGCCCCCTCCCTCCCCAAAGCATCAGATCTGCAGTGCTCCTTTTATTTTTGTTGCTGTTATCTTTTATGACAGTTAGGCATAAAATCAAATGTGTTTCCTCGAAACAACTCTCATCTTTGTTTTTTAAAACCAGTGTTCTTATTCTTTTCCACATTAATGGGAAAATATTCCAGTAAATACATAAAAAAGAACCATGCCCTGCCTTGTATTTCATGTACATAGAAAACAAAAGAGTCAAAGATGTTCACTAGACATTTCTAACACACACATCTGACTTCTTTATGAAATGCTTAGCCTCTTCCATAAAGAAGAAAAATTCCAGTGAGTCTGAGGATTAAAAAACAGAATGTAATGATCTTCTGTGTGAAGTAAAGCCTCTGGTTTCTCAGACTCCATCAGGGTAAAATATTTTGCAAGGCTCTCTTTTCAGGACAATTTAATTAAATGAAGTGGTACTAGAACACCCTGTCACTATTACAGTTCTCATCATTTCCAACCAGAAGGCAACTCCCACAGAGTCCCTGTGTATGTTCTTTACAGCAATGGTCTAACTACTGATTAAAAATATCCCACAGTGCAAAGCGCATATAGCTATTACTCTTATTTTGTACCTTCTCTCTGTTATAAAGAAAAATACACATAGGAAAATTATATAAATATTTATTTTCCCCTCTTAAAAGTTAACCTTCTTAATATATTCAACATTTCTATACAGCAACTCTCTTCAGTGAGAACTTGGCTGCACTCTGATTCCATCTCTTGTGCCACTGCTACTGTTGTGCTGTTTTCTCTGGCCTTATCAATGACAGAAACAAATTTGCCTTGTAAGAAGAGTTAATCATCTCTACATAGATTCCACTCCTGGGCACAGGCTCAAAGTCCATGAACGCATAATCTTTTGCAAATCAAAACCTATTTCTCTTTCATGCATCATTTACAATCCCAAGATGATGTACTACTAGCATCACACCTGTATTTTAGTTCGCTTTCTTCCCGATTAACTGTCCTTTAGAAAAGAAAGCACAAGTGACCTTTACTTTTTTCCTCTCATATTTTATTGTCTGTTTGCCTTGTTTTCCTTTGCTTTGCTTGTCTATATAAAGAACTGAAAGAGAAAGCCTGGCTAAAAAACAGCAGCAGAATACCTCCTCAGCATGTTCCTCTTCTTCATAAAGAGGCAAAACAGACCTTAGGAACAGTAAAATACTAGAAAAAAAGAAAGCACCTAGTTTTCAGTCACTAGGATCACACAACAGACCCAGTAGAAATACTGTGCAACTGAGATCTCTTTGAGCCCCAGGTTATCCATGCAAAGGCTAGACCTTATCTGGTTTGTGGGCAATATCACCTGCCTCTCACAAGCCTGAAGGCAGCAGCAGCAGCAGCAGCAACAGCGGCACCAGAGGCTTGGACTGCCATCCTTACATCACCCCTTGAGCAGCTCAGTCATTACTGCTGTACCCTAAGTTACAACTGCACTAGCTAGTCAAAAATAGCAAAAGAAACCAAAATAGTCTCAAAAGTGATAGAGTCAAAGAGCTTTTGAGTGCAAGCTGTCAAGCCAATACCTCCTTCTTTGGGCACCAGCATGAATTCTCATAGTCACTGTCTCCTGCAATTTTTTTTTTCTCCAGCTTTATCTGCTGTGATTTTATTCTCCTGAGCTTCCATTGCTCTGAAGAAGATAGTATTTTACAGCTACTTTAAATAAATTGTTTACCCATTTCTATAACAATTATGTGCCATGAGCCCCAGATTCTGAGTCTGATTACAGGAAGGTGCGCAAACACTGCAGTTGTGACATGCATTAACCAATATTCTGGCAACAACCAGGCTGACTGACAAATTTGGGTTTTGATGACAGCTTCATTTTAACAAGCTATTAGTGTGACTAGGTTTGCGGCTCTTGTGCTAACAATCTGATGTGTACAGCTTTGACATCTTCTTCCCCTCACCCAACTCCAGTAGATTATCTTAATATTTAATTGGATATGGTTTTCATTTGCATATAATTGCTGCTCTTTGTTATGCAAAACATTTGTTCTCTAATATATTCTGATGCATCTGGAATTTTCAAGACTTGTACAATGCAATTTATGGGACCTCAGAGTTGTCCCACAATGAGATATTTGAGAAAAAATAATAGATTTTTCATCTCTAGTGGAATATTTTCATGTTTCTAATGTTAATAAAAGCTTAAAAATTAACCCAGTCAAACGTTTCCTCCTGTTTGCCCTTTTTCATTCTCTTGGCCTCCCTTTAAGATGTATTAAGTAACACATTTTTTCTGTTTTCCTTGTTTTAGTTTTTCTGTTACAGTCAACTTGTAGAAAAGCCAATTCTTACAAACAAATAAACAGGCCCAAAGTTTAATACAGACTTTTTCTACAGCCTTTCTTCCTACACCCACCTTCTCTTTTTTAAGTGGGAGCATCAAGAAAAGCTTATGCTTTTGATCTCTGTGCAAATAAATGAGCTAAAACAAATAAAACCTGGTTCACAAGAGACTTCCAAAACATCTGGTGGAGTTATTTTTCAAGGTAATTAGACCAAGTGGTGGTGTAATTCCCAAATGAAAGGTACCTTCTTGCTTGGTATCCAGTTATTTCTCATAGCCATCAAAACAGCAGTAAGTCCTGCTTCTCTCCTTGCATGTGTCTCAGACTCTATTGATTACCAGTCTTCCCAAACACTGGTTTATTACTCAAGTTTTTAATTTTTTTTTTTTTCTGATACTATGAGGATCCTGTTTTACTTCCATGAATGTCAATGGGATTTCCGGTGTTAAGTGAGGAATGACGGCAACCTACTGTAGTTCTCCTTCATGCAGGCTCTAAGGAGCAGGCAGGAAAGTGTAATGAATAACGGTCAGGTGCTTGGTCTGGATCAATACACTGCTCTAAAGTGTGCCCAGGTGTGCTTTCTCCTTCTTTCTTGCTGGAAGCTGGTTAAATTTCTCCTTTTTTTGTCGTATTTCCCCAGGAAAACACCATTCTAGCAACAACCCAATTGCTCTTTGACACTTTGGGAAGAACGTGGTCTTTGACAACAACACAGTGCAACCACTGTGAATTTGTGACGCTGGGGAAGTGACTGGGGAATAGAGCTGCCTAAGAAAGTAATTCCATTTTTTCTGCGCATGGTTCTCCTGTTTTTTGGTTTCAAACTTGGTCAGGGTGCTCTACAATCCTGTTTCACTTACTGATCTAGATGCAGAGACCACCTCTGCGCTATGACAGTCACGTTCTGTAGTGCCAGATACAGAATTCACAGATGTATCAGAAGTAAAGAAAAGTAGCTGCCATGTGAAACAGATTACAAAGTGGGCTTGATACTAATGCTTTTTAATTCTCATCCCTTTGTGACATAACACAAACTCACCAGAGGTTTCATCTACTCTCTCGTCCACCACATGGTCCTTCTGATGAACCCACTCGCTGTTGCACTTAAAATAGATCTGTGTGGCTGGACTCGCTTTGCAGTACAGATTCACAGGCTTGTTCTTCACAATGTAAGCCTCCTCGGGTTCGATGAGGAAGTGAGGCAATGGCTCTGGAGGGTCAGATGGAAAAGTTTCCGGAAGTTCATGAAAAAAATCATCATCTGTAGAGAAGGGACAAATAGGACAAATGAAACAACGAAAATTCAGCTGCCAAACACTTGCAAACCCATCCTGAAAATTTCAAAAGGCGCACAGTTTTTGAATAAAATGTTGTCTTAGGAGCACTTCTAGACTGAGGCTTACAATGCACTTCTGCTTTTAGACTAGAAGAAATTGTTCTTTACATCCTGAGCTTTCTTTCCTCTACGTGATGTGACAGGGATGTGCCTTTTCACACATCTGGGACTGGTCCTTTTTTATCAGCAGCAGCAATACTAGCAATAAAGCATTATGTTAGCGCTTGGGAGAGTTGCCTGCAAAACCGTAAAAAGAAATAATAGAAACTTTTGGAGGCTTCAAGGTCAGACTTTTCAGTAGTGACTTATCGCAATGCTTAATCGGGTGCGTGCAATAGCCGTGCCAGCTGAGGCTGGTACAAATAGGAAATAGCACCTTTAGTTTCAGATGAGCAATTTGAAATCTCCTCTAAGGGCAAAAGACTAAGTGCAAGTCCAGTCTGAACTTCTTTGTTCATACTCTGACTCTCCTGAAAAGACTGCTGATGAAGGTGCCAAGCTATGCTTTATTTACTTTGTCTGTAGTACATTTGTCTGCACAGTCCTTGCTACAGAGAGGACTTGTGAGCTGGGACATGAGGCAGGGCAGCTTCGAAATGGTGACATTTGGGCCAACAGGGACAATTGCAATTAGTACAAAGAACATCTGCACCTCCCTGCTGCTGCTGGTAATGAACAAAGTCAATGGAAGTAGTCTGGAAAAGGAGGAAAAGAGTCTATCACATAGGAGGCAACACTGAAAGCACCTAAAATGCATACTTTCCTTTCTCTCTCCCTACCTCTTCAAAAATCCTCCTTTACAACCCCTCTGCCCCTTCCTGCAGTAAGTCCTCCACATCAGAAAGCACCAAATTCAATGGAGAATAACTCTCTTCCCATCCACCTCCCTACCTGCTGTCAGAGCACAAGATATGCGAGCGGCTTACAGAAGCAAAGCCGTGGGGGAGCACCAACTACTGACAGATCCACCACCAGCAAGCTGACAGTCCTGAAGGCCTTATTCAATCTCCCCTTTCTGCCTCCGAAGCAGTTATCATTATACACAGTGACGGACGCTGATCCTGATCAATAGAACACCACAGAACATCAAACTAAAAATACTGCGGAAGGCTGGCTATCTTCTCCCTGCCAGTCTCCAGGAAGATGAAATGTCAGACGGCTACCCCCCCTCTGGAACCTGAGACATGGCTGTGCAGGCCGTGTCCAGAATTACAAGGGGCATGACTCTCCTTCCCGACAGTGCTTTTCAGAAAGACAAAAAAGGAACAAATGAAGGAGAGACGGGAAGAAGGTAATATGGTACACATCCATGCAGCTATATGACGGTACTGTACGTCTTTATCGGTGAGGGGAATGCCCTACACAGCAAGCGATGTTGTAAACCTCCTGAACTATTTATGAAGTGAACATATGATGTTGACCTTTTTTTTTTTTTTTTTTCCCCCTTCATATTCATTTAAAAATACTCCTGTCCTTCTGGGTGTCTCATTTTACAAGGAATATCAGGCCTGACTCACTACTGCATCACTCCCTGAGAGTTAATAGAAGTGAACAGGTTCAAAGATGGAAGAAAGGGTCAATAAATAAAATTGATAATTTTCTAGCAAAGGGAAAATATGTGATACATTATAACAATTCTATTTCCATCTCCAATTAATCATTTACAGATACTCAAATTAAATTTAATTTTTTATTACTTTCCCATCCTTCCTTCTCTTCCTGTAGTTTCTTTTTCACTGTGGCCACACCAGTCTCCTTCTTCTGCAATCACATTTCCTCTCCTCATAAGTTATTTCTTTCTTGCTCCATTTTGCTCCCCATCTTTTTCCAAACAGAAAGATGAGTTACAGTAAGTTAATGGGAGTCCTCATTTGATTTCATGACAATGAACCATGTCTGAACTGAATCAAGAGGTATTTCGGCATTCCTCATCCCTGTCTATGCATATCTCGCCCTCTTCCTCTGTCTCCCTCTCACACTGCTGCATAGACTTCCACAACATAGAAACATTAGAGATGAATCATTTCCCTTGAATTGCCACAGGATGTATCTTTTTCTTCTGGTCATTTAATTGCAAATCAGCGAGCAGACAGATGGAAACTAACAAAGCACACATATGTTTTATAATTAAACAAGTATCGCTTCACTAATTTCTGGTGACTGGAAGAACAAATGTATTTATTTTCACCACTAAATTTCTGCACATTATCAAAGGCAATACTTACACTGCCTGACCAATTAACTGTATCTTATCAAAGATAACTAGAAAGTCTAAAAGGAGTGATCCGCTAGCTGCAAAAAGAAGAAAAAAGGTGTTTTAAAAAATGATTTTTTTTAATCAGCCTGAAAAATGTGCGTGTGGGCTTTGGCTTTTCCTCCTGAAGGAAAATGCTTCTGAAGTTTAAGTATTATTTGTATGTTAAAGTGGATTCACAGTACTGCCCAGTACATGGCAATCTAGGCCTACATTTTGATTGTGGTGATAGCTGCTTCTCTCTACCAGCCTGGAATCCTTCAGTCAGGTACAAGCCTGTTTTCTTATTGTCTTTTCGCTCTGATTCCTCCTTACTCTTCTTAAGCAACAATAAAGCTCAGCTTTATTTTTCCACACTCTTTCTCACTGCTATCAAGAGGCATCTGAACTGCTCTTAAATCTTAGGGATATAGATGGAAACCATTCACAAACTGTCACACAAATAGTGTGCAGAGGCTACCACGTCCCTGGAAACAGGAATTTAAAACCATCACTTTCAGAAAAAATTTAAGATAGTAGCTAAGAAAGACTTTTTTTTGTTTTTTTAAACCGGAGTATGTTTATTCAATCCCTGCCCTCTTACTGTTGCTATAAGGAGTAACAATGGTCTTCTTTTTTTTTTTTATAGAGCAGTTTCTTAAGAGGAGTATATAGAATATGGCCATGACTAGGTTTGGCAGAAAAAAATCCCACTCCAATTGCTAAGCTAGTCCTACCTCCATTAGCACCGAGGGACTCCAGCTTCCTGTTTTTCACTGTGGAAAGGTAACTGGTGGCTTAATCAGCCTGTGAATCACAGGGGGAAGTCACTCGGTGTTCCCTGCCTCCCCCAAAGAGATGGGGTCGGCTGCTGCGAGGCGGCAAAGCACCCCTCTCCTCCCACCCAGGCATACCAGTCGCCACCAGCTGAAGTGGCAGGATGGTGGTTTACAGGCAGAGAGGGTGTGCAGCCCCACTTTCCCTGTACCAGGCTCTGGTACTTGCCTCTCAGGATGAGGATCTTACGAGGAGGAAGAACCTTAAATCCCCTCATGATGGCTTGTACATCACACCAGGCACAGCTTAGGAAAGTCAGCCAATTCAGCTGCTGATTTGGGAGAGGGTTTTGAACTATCAACCTTAACACATCTTGGATCCAAGTCTTGCATTTCATTTTTTGAATTACAGTAATATGTTGCTGTGCTTTCATTGTAATGCTCACAGCAACTGCAATAATTATAATGGCAATGTAACTATACGCCAAAATATTCCTAAAAACCCAATACAGAAAATGCCAACATAAGATATTTGATAATGCTGAGATTTTTTTTTTTGCAGAATGAGCTTCTGGTAACACTGAAGCAATCTAAAAAAACCTGTGTTTTTGTGAGGACACAGTTTCTAACAATGTAAAAAATACTTCCATCAAAATTTCTCCTGACCACCTGCAGTTAAACACAGCTCATTCCTCTCTCCATACAAAAAACAAACTCTGACTTAGCTTCTTCAGGGATGATTTTACTGTAACGGTGTGGCCTGCTGGGCCCGTTTCTATAATTTGGATGGGAGTTGCCTCTCACTGTGTGCTCCACTGCTATATGAGGTGATAAATCTTGCCTGAGACTTTGATCTGCATCTTCCTGATGGTTATTGCTGGTTATTTAAAATGTTCGTCTCCCAATGGTGCAACAAAGCAGCAAAGTTTATAACTCTCTTATTTAATTCTCCTAAGTACTTAGACATTTTTTTTCTTTTGTCTGAAGGAAAAAAGCTAATTAAACCATCTGGGAGTGATCTGGGCGTGTAGATACAAACAAACACTAAAAATTCACATACTTGATTTCCAATCATTATGTCAGTGTCATGTGCAGCAAGTTCCCCTTACAACCTTGATCAAACACAAACACAAGGCACACATTGTTCTCCCCTGTTGTAACAAATCCCCTTCTGTGCTCAGCAACTTTGAGCTGCAACTTTACTTCTGCAGTATGTCACATTCATCTTTATTTTCACATAATAAAGTGCACAGCCCATCTGTTGTTATTGACTGATTTATATTAGCAAGATAAAAGACCTGATTAATGGTACTGCTAAACTGGTTTTACTCATGCAATTCATTCATATTAAGAAAATAAATTTTTTAAAGCCACCTTAATCTATAAACTTCATTTGGAATTTTTATTTTATTTACTGGCTCAAAAACAGATATGCATTTTGATTTGCCTTCTGTAGTATCTGACAACTATACTTTTTTAAAAAACAAAGTCAAATGCAAAATCTATAGGAACAGGTGCAATGCTACTGAAATCAGCATTGATAGGATTTGGCATGGACTGTCACATACAGGAATTTTAGCTTAATTTTACTTCATTTTCCTTTTACGGTGAAAAAAATTTTGCCTGAGTTGGGAATCTTCTGATGTTAGAAAAGGTCTTTATTGTTTTCATGCATTTGATCACAAAACTATACATATTATAGCTCTCCATGCATAACAAGCGAAAAGGAAATTTAATGGTATATTTCCCTTTTTATGGACTACTATCCCTGCTCTAATCTGTGGCAGGAAAATATTGTGCTCCATACACCAATCTATTCATCTCTAGATCACTAGTTTTATTACTATATATCAAGCTTTAATTCTCATCAACCCAGTATATAACCCAGTATATATCTGAACTGCAAGACTTGAACT